AAGAGCAACTCCGGAACATGAAAGATGATTCAGCGACTGTGAACAGCGTGAAGAAATATAGAAAACAGCAGCATCAATCAAAACAGTCAGTGCCACCGAAATTGTCGTCACAGCAGAAGCAATCAGCACTAGAATATGACTGCAAGATGTGTGGAAGAAGTCACAAATATTTGGACTGTCCAGCTTTTGGAAAGACTTGTGCGAAATGCGAAGTAAAGAACCATTTTGCAGCGAGGTGTCCCAAGAACATTTGTGAAGTTAGAATACCAAATAATGAACTTAGTATATATAATGAACATAGTTTACTCTGTAATGATAAATCCACCAGTAAACGGGCATAGTGAATTTAAAATAAGTGCAAAATCAATGAAAGATCTAACAAATTCTATTGATGAAGTAAATAAGGATATTCACAAGGTAAGTGAAATAAATATGGGTGAAAAGTATTACAATGTATGTGAATAATAAGTCTTTCAAGGTTGATTTTAAGTTAGATACTGGTGCAGAAGTAAATATTTTGCTTTATATGTTTTAAATAATGTTAAACTTAAGCCTAAACTTAATGAAACTGATTTGTTCTTAACTGCATATGGTAATTTTAAGTTAAAACCAGAAGGTACTCTTATAATTAATTGTTCAACTGAAAGGCTTAAGAATGTACCTTTACAATTTTATGTTCTTGATGTAAGATCTAAGCCTATATTAGGGTTAACAGCTTGTTCTGCATTAAAGCTAATTGAAAGGATTGATTCCTTAAAGTGCAATATCATTAATAAAAATGATTTAATTGCTCAGTATAAAGATGTATTTACAGGTACAGGGCAATTTCCTGACGAACCATATCATATAACCCTTAAAGATGATGCAATACCAGTAATACACCCCCCCAAGACGTGTTCCTCAGGCTTTACAGCCTAAATTAAAAGATACTTTAGATAAACTTGAAAGAGAAGGGATAGTATCGAAAGTAAATAAACCAACTGATTGGGTTCAAAGTTTGGTTATAGTTGAAAAACCTAATGGGAGTCTGAGATTATGCTTGGATCCTAGAGATCTAAATAAAGTAATTAAAAGGGAACACTATCAAATTCCTTCTCCAGATGATATAATTAGTAGGTTAGAAGGTAAAAAAGTATTTTCAGTTGTAGATTTAAAAGATGGATTTTGGCATGTACCACTAGATGAAGCTAGTTCTGAACTATGTACATTTAATACTCCTTATGGAAGATATAAATTTAATAAAATGCCATTTGGAATATCCTCCGCCCCAGAAATATTTCAGAAAAGAAACCAAAAATTATTTGGTGATATTGAGGGTGTGGAAGTTTATTTTGATGATATCATAATTGCAGGATCTGATGAGGTTACTCATGATATAATTATCTCTAAGGTTCTTGAAAGAGCTAGGTCTCTAAATATAAAATTTAATCCTGATAAATTACAATATAGGGTACCGGAAGTCAAATATGTAGGCCAAATTATTTCTGAGTCAGGTGTAAAAGCCGATCCTAGTCATATTAAAGCAATTATTGATATGCCAACACCAAAATCAAAAACTGAAGTAAGGAGGTTGTTAGGAATGTTAAATTTTCTGTCAAAATTCATACCTAATGTATCTAAAGTTACTGCTCCTTTAAGAGAAATCATTCAAGAAAAGGTAGAATTTAATTGGGGAGAAACTCAGGAAGAGTCATTTAACAACATCAAACAACTGCTAACCAAAGCTCCAATTTTAAAAGTTTTCAGTGGTAATGAAGGATATAATTATACAGTGTGATAGTTCGAAGGATGGCCTAGGATCGTGTCTAATTCAAAAGGGTAAGCCTGTATCATTTGTGTCTCGCAGCCTGACTAACAGTGAAAAAAAAAAACTATGCACAGATCGAAAAGAGCTATTGGCCATAGTATTTTCTTTTGAAAAGTACCACAATTTTGTTTATGGACGGAAAGTCACAGTGCAAAGTGATCGTAAACTGTTAATGGCAATTGTTAAGAAACCATTGCATAAAATCTCGTCTAGAATGCAAAGGATGATCTTAAAACTACTAAAATATGATTTTGAGATAAATTATGTTCCAGGTAATCAAATGCTTTTTGCTGACACTTTGTCACGTGCATATCCTGTGAATGAAACTATTAGTGATGATCCTGAAATGCTAAATGTTGTTCACATTATTTCAAAATATTTGCCTATGAGTGAAAGAAGAGTGGGGCAATTTAGGAAAGAAAACTGAATCAGATCCAGATTTGCAAATAGTTATGAAATATATTAAAGAGGGTTGGCCTAAATGTTACAAAAAAGTAGATAGTAGTGTAAAAACATACTTTAAAGTTAAAAATGATCTTTATATTAATGACGACTTGTTATTTATTAATGAAAAATTAGTTGTACCTTATGGTTTGAGAAAAGATATGTTGCAATTAATTCATGAAGCGCATTTTGGAATTGAGAAATGTAAAAGTAGAGCCCGTGAAATTTTTTACTGGCCAGGTATGACAAATGACATTGAGCAGCTTGTTTCCAAATGTGAAATATGTGAAAAATTCAGAAATAGAAATCAAAAAGAACCTCTAATGCAACATGAAATTCCAACTAAACCATTCGAAAAAATTGCCCTTGATATCTTGCAATTTGGTAATCAAAATTACTTAGTAGTTATCGATTATTACTCTAAATGGATTGAGGTTTCTAACATAAAAGATAAGACAGCAAATGAAATTATGATAAAGTTAAAATGCATCTTTGCCAGGTATGGTATTGCAAATGAAGTCGTTTGCGACAATAATCCCTGTAATAGCTACTTATTTAAGAAATTTGCTGAAGATTGGGATTTCGAACTTAAATTTAGTAGCCCCAGATATCCTCAAAGTAATGGGTTGGCTGAAAAAGCTGTAGGAATAGTGAAAAATATCATGAGGAAAAGTGCAAGATATAAGTGTAGGCTTAATGGAATATCGAAATACCCCAATTAGTGGAATAAATTTGTCTCCTGCACAACTTTTACTTAATAGAAGATTAAGGACAAAATTACCTATCAGTAATAAATTGTTAAATACTAAAATAAACAAACCTTATTCTAAATTTCGTGCACTTCAAGCTAGGCAAAAATATTATTATGATAGAACCGCACAGAAACTGCCTGAGTTAAAACCTGGAGATAGTATAACCTTGTTCAACTTTAGAACTGGGCAATGGGATAAAGGTGAAATAATTTCAAAACATAAAGCTCCTAGATCCTATATTGTAAGAAATTCAAATGGGGAAATATTACGAAGAAACAGACGCCATATAAAATTTTCAAAATCACCTTACAAAGTTAATAATGATTATGATGATATATTATTAGATAAAGAGGAAAATTAAAATGAAAGCCCTGAGAATGTTTCTGTGCCTGTTAATATAGGAAATCAACAGGATAATCTATCCAATAATACAATAACAAGAAGTGGACAGTTGATTAGACAACCTTCAAGATATAGAGACATTGTCATGGAATAAAATAATGCAACATATTGCATATCATTTTTATGTAACTTTTTTTTTATTGTATGTCATATTGTGATATACTTGTATTGATATTATTTACTATTTTTATTATTATTTATAAACTGGAGGAATGGATGTGATGTATATTTAAAATAACTATAACTATAAATAACTATAACTATAATGGCGCTCATGCTATGCGATTCCATTGTTGTGATGCACATGTTACTGTGCTAGCTGAATGTCATGTGAACTGTTTAAAAATGTAATAATAAAAAATTTTGAATTCTTGGGATATACTCATTAGTTGAGTCTACTTTTAAAGTATAGAAGTTATTAAGTTTAATAAACTAAACAAGAAGTTACACTGGACACATCTCACATAAAGCGAGTTCATGACACAGAAACATATGAAAGATTCAAAAAGTAAAAAGAAATATATTAAAAATTGGGACCTGTCTTCAGAATGGCATGAAGTGGAGTATTTTCAAAATTTTAGGATCTTGGCATTAAGAAAAATACACATTATTGGACATCATACGCAACTTTATTTGAAATGGATAAACAAGGGAAACACAACATGAGAAATTTTATAATAAGTGATTAAAGATTTTCATATGCTATATCCGTAACTTTTATCTCTTGATTATACTAAGTAAATAAAGAGCAATCCAAACTAACCAAAATCCAAATTTCTGCTTGAATGGCAGGATATCCGCCAACTTTCATTGTTGACAAGATTTCACAAGTGGTTAGTATAACATAAGCTGTTTTACTTTCATTTGTTTAAGGTCTATGAAAATGTGTCTGCTTTTCAGCTTGAAATGCACTTTTTTCAATCTTATAAAATGTTAAATGTAGGTTTTTGATATTCATATTCATCACAAATAATTTATAATAGTTTTTAATTTGTGCTGAAAATATCTTCTTAGATTCATTTGGTTTTCTATTGTGAATTGCATTATTTATATGCTCAACCATTAGGAATTTTTACATATCCAGCTTTTAGAATTTCCCATACTTTCTAGATAGTTGAGTTTTTATTTTAATAAACTTTTACTTATGTATATGCTTACCATGCAATTTCATCTATGATATGATAAATAATATTTTCTAGCATATTATTACAATGAAATTTACCTTTTTTTATAATTGCATTTCCTTTTTATTCATAAGAATTCAAGCTGCCTTTTAACATTTATGTATAATGATCACAATAACCATAATTTTTGAAAATGAGATTGCATGCCATTTTTGAAAAAAATGAGATAGTATCCAATTAAATAAAAAAATTTGATTTTCTACTTCCTTTCAATTCCTCATACTTTATGACTCCTTTATGCTTTTGCTCAAATTAATCTCCTTAAACATATGTATGTAATTTTTACTTTTGTTTTATATTGTGGTCAATTCATCAATTCACATATAATTATCAAAATTCTATAATTGCATAATAATGATACAGCATAGTTGATGATGATAAAATATTGCTCTTAATTAAAAGTATACAAACCTAGGTAAATATAATGGTCCTGAGCAAACATAAACATGCTGATATTTCTTAACAAAGCGACGTACATGTTTTTCTAATTTATTCCAAGCATCTCTATTGAAACCTTTTCCAACCTGAAAAAGTCATATCATTTTACAAGTGATATGCTATACTATTCAAGTAGCATCTCTAATTAAAAATCTTATACACCATAAAATATTATGAAACAAATCCTTTAAACACTGATCAAAATGCAAAATAAGTGTATTTCAAACACAACTCTAAAAAATAATGCAAATTGATTGCATTCATTTATAAAAGACTAATTTAGTTTTAATATTTAGCAGTGCTGATGTTATTTACTATTATTAATTTATCTAATCACTTATTAGTTTTGTATCTGCATCAGTTGAGAACGTTTGGTTTTGAGATGCTCTGGATATGGTGAATGTTCTTTTATGAAGTTTTTTGTGCATTTCTTTTTCACATATATTTTAGGAATATTTGACATTTAGAAATATAAAACTTTAGAAAACATCCACCAATGCTAGGTTTAATTTATATGATAATTTATTAATATTAATAACAGAAGAAAATATGACATATAATATGTTAAATTTGGCTTGCATAGAAAAATTAACTGATGATAATTATCTTAATGGGCAAACAGGATTGAAAGTGAAGTAAGAAATCTAAAAAAATGAAATGGTGCCATTCAATCAGAAGAACCAACAAAATCATATAAAAGAAATTATAATAATTATGAAAGAGAAATGAAATTTAGAAGATCTATGATGATAATAATTTAATAACAAGAAGTGTGATGAATGCACTTTGGCAACTCCACAAACATTAGAATTTCACTGAAAGGAATGCAAAGAAACTTTAAAATTTGTAGAAATGAAGCAGGATGGATCTGCAGATGATTACATGAACATAGGTATAATTTTTTATAATACAAGTTTCCAAGTAAGGAATGAAATAAATAAAAAAAAATAATTCATATATAAAGACTTACAATAAAACAAACTGGAATCTGATCTTAAAATTATTAGAAATAAAAAATAAAAAAAGGATACAGCTGCAATTAGACAAAAAAGTGAAGAAAAAAATAAACAATGACAAAAAGAATAAGTCATTTCTAAAGCAAAAGCAAACTTGACAAAGCTTAAATATCATTAAAGATGGTGCTTTTTTTAATGTGAAAAATTACCGGAATGGATAAAGAAATCTAAAGAAAAATACAGAAAGCCACAAAATTAAACAGCTAAAATGACAAATAAGGAAAAAACTATGAATCAGCTACATGCTTATGCAAAATATCAAAGAAAATAGAAGAAGTTTCACCTTTTAATCAGGCTAGAAACGATGCAGAATGTGAAATGAAGAATTAGGAAATAACAAAAACTAAATGGATTATAAAATATAATATAGATGCAGGAGGCATATCTTACATGGCAAAAAGTAAAAACATATTTATCAGTTTTAAATATGAACAACAATAAATGATATTTATGTATTACTGCAACCACCTTAGTAGAATTTAAGTTGGTTTCTTGGAAATATTCCTTGCTTTTTTGTAAATATGCAGTTAACAGAGGTGAATGTCATATCCGTTTTTCAAGAAATAAGCCTTTGCAAAAATGACCAGAACATTAAACTATATGTTAACAAAGAAACCATTTGCAGATGCAATGTTAAAAATTATAAAAAGAGAAAGGGCCTCCATGTTACATATTGATTCAGTGATTCCAGAATATCATTTGTCATTGCTAGTAGATTTAGGTATTCTTGGGCAGAGGAGAAAAGCTTCTTACATTCACTTCACCATGAACCCTAAGTTCAATTTGATTGACCCAACAAAGGCTGTGCACACCCAAAATGTTGAAAGAATGTGGAGAGGTTTACACAAAAATTAATGGTGAATAACATAACATATAGTTACCAAATAAATTAATTGAATAACAATGTCTAAAATATAAGCCATTAGCTTTATAATTTATCAAGGGATCCCATGCTTTTATTATTCATAACATAAAGTTGTTATGGCAATTTATCACTTTTGTTAATACTTAAATATGAACTTAAAGATGAAGTTAAAACTTATAAAGTAAAATCTAACATAGAATCTTATTCTTCACTACTTGTGGTAATATAAAATAAAAACAGAAACAAAAGAAATGTATCAATACCTGCCAAGCTATAACATATGACAACATTAGAATTCCAACAGACCCTGCTTGAAGTTACTACACGGTTAGATCGGCAGAAGAAAAATGAGCTTCTACGTGTTGAACTTCTACACTTACAGAATGGAGCTAATGTGAGCCTTTTATTGTGATGAGTGACTCTTTAGCCAAGGCAGCAATATAGTGTTGGGATTTCTACTCAGAAAGTCAGTAAAAATTACACCTTACTTTTAACCTACACCGCTTGCCATATAATTTGCATAAACCTCAGGTCTGAGAGAGAACATAATGAAACAAAGAATAAAGGTAAGAAGTTAGCATAAAGCTGAGAACATAACGAAACAAGGAATAAAGGAAAGACGTTAGCATAATTATGCATCTTTACAAAGTGCTTATAATAATTATTTCTGTTTTATACTAGCAAATTCCTCCAACTATTTGATTATTTTATACATAGTTTCATTCTTTAAATTTATCTAGGTCTTCATCTCAGTCTTTTTTTTAACTGTTCAATTGTACAAATGAATTCATATATGTTATCAAAACTAGCTAAATCTTTAAAAAATTTTCCATACGAGGAATAGTTAAAAAATAAATGCTGCAGAAATGATTAAAAATTTAAACTCAATAAAACTGTTAAAATTAAGCTCTACAGCAGTGCTGAAATTATAATTCTACATAAATGTAAAAATCTGCATGAGGAGAAAAACTGTCAGAAATTTAGAATATGCCTTGTTTAATTAAAAATTAATTTCATTTTATTATACACAGCTCGTATTGCAATATCCAGTTACACAGCTCCTAATTTATGTTTAGTTTGTTTCCAAAATATCTGCAGAATAAAACATAAGCCTACAAAACTATTTTCAAAAATAATATATTTTAGTTCTAAAACTTACAAAAAGAAGGAATATTTAAACAAAAACAGTTTTATACAGTTTACTGAAAATTAGCAAGTAATTTATTTCAGGTATTAATAATAGAATGAAGTCATTCAAAATATTAATTTATTTAGTATGCAAACATAGAAACACCATATTTACAAATGAATTCCTTTTGCTTTCTTTTCATACTAAATTCCCCAGCATCATTATGAGAACATGTTATACTATATAAATATGTTTAACTCTATTAACAAAAACAAGATAATTTCTTAGTGCAAACAGCTTTTCAAATTATGGAAACATTGCATGTCATATATAGTTTTTGAAATACTGATGGAAAACACATTACATGATAGTTAGTTGTTGTTTTAGTTACTTTACAAGAAATTTCTGGTCAGCGAAAATTTCTCTTTTCTGAAATTGTCACCACATGTTAATCTTTCTGTTTCCTCTATTATCTACACCAGTTTGTTTCAAGCCAGACTGTCTTGCAGCAGTTTTGACATTATCCATGATGGCATATTTTAAATTGTGCAATTTAAATTCTATGTTACATTTGTGAGCATCTTTATGTAAAATTACTCCAAAAAACTTCATTGTCAGGTCCAGTGATTTCTATACTGACTCAGCTGAATTGACTGCTTTTCACTTTTCCACCAAAAATTTGGCAGCCATTCACCAGTTGCATTAGCATATCATCCAATATGCACTATTATCACAACTATTTCATAATTGATGGCCAAGACATGACCCATGGATCCTTGAGCATTATTGCTAAGGTATGTGTCTGATGTGCCAAAGCTATTCAGTCAATTAAAAGATCAAGGTTCAGAAATTCAGATGGGGAACATGCCCTTGACTTAGAAAAATGGCCTTGTATATCATGTGAGATACTGTGCAACCTGTTTGTATTATGGAAGCTCAACTGACAGTGATATTTTACAAATGTAACGCTAATCTACTTTAAACAACTGACTTCAAAATTACCTAATGTTCTCCATTGTGAAATCTTCAGGGAGAAACACATGACATTCATCGATTCTACAAAGAAAAGCAAAAGGCTTTCAAATTGCTCAGTTAGTTTTAGTGTAATTACAATTTCAAGGCTTCAGGTTGACACTGCAAAGTTATTTTTGTTTCCCTGACATAAAATTTAGATTTATATTCCTGTAACTTGTTTGAACAACAGTGTTATTGTAGTGCTTTTGGTATCTATGATGAAACCTATTCAAATAGTGCCATGGGTGAAGATGACAACCCCAGCAATCTGCAAAATGTTATCAATGTTGAGGTTCAGTCTCTTACACAAGATCCCCAATTTTTAAAAAAAATTAGCGAGGATGGTTGGACAATCAATAATGGCATGCAGTTGTGAATTCTCAATAAACAATACTATCATAGTAAACTTTCATGTGTGGAAGATCACTTTAGAATGAACATATATGAAAATAGAGATGGACAGAATGATTAAATGACTGATAAAAATATAAGAAAAAACTTGCTTGTACTTGTACACGTGAGTACATAGGAATTTATCTACGCAAATACGAGGGTTGGAACTTTAATAGTGGCAACACAGCTGAAAAAACGCTATGCAACAAAACCAAAGAATATCGCGTATACCACACGTGAACTACATACCTACCTTACCTCTCAGCAAAAAGACTTGTCCTGCCTACATCACGTGCATGCGGAGTGACGCAAAGAACGGATCCTTGTATTAGCTCGCGGTCTAAAGTAAGTGTTGTCAGGATATTTTCAAAACAAGAACAGCGATGTTGGATAAAAATTTAATGTACCAGAGGTCGTACAGCACGACAGTGTCATCAAGGGCTTCAAGAGGCTTGCGGGGAATCTGCATTGCCTTACAGAACCATAGCAAGATGGGTGAAAGCATTCAATGAAGGATGCCAAAACATGGCAGACATGCTGCGGTCAGGTCGTCCGAGTGTCAGCGATGCAGACGTGCAAGCTGTTGCTGCACTAATGGACAGTGATCGCCGCCAAACTATTCGTCAACTGGCCAGACAAACAGGATTAGCGCATACGACTGTGCTGCAC